GCAATACAATTTCACTTTACCTCTATTGTAATATCAATACAATAGGAGTAGTGGTATGCGTTTATACGGTATAACACCTATTGTAATAAAATTTCTCTTAACCCATATTGTAATAATTGTAAACAATGTGTTTTGCCATACCAATAAAATCTAATTTTAAAAGTCTATGGATTTTGATCACCATTTCCGTATGTAAAATAAGAATACTGCATGGAATATTATGAAACACCACCACCGGAAACATGATTAAAAGCCGTTAACGACCTTGGTGAAAATATTAAAATATCATGCCAACCCCTATTGTAATCAACGATATTGAAATAAACGTGAAGAATGTTTGTTTTCTATTTTCTAGTGACAATCAATTTTTGTTTTGAATTGTCAGATATCCCCTCACAGATTTGGAACTTGTTAATTACCAGTTCTATCACAGATGCAATAATGACTGACACCAATATTGTCCTTTAAGTGAAATTTTATTACAATTATTACATTTATTGTATTAGGGGTTGCTATTACAATAGGGGTTGTTATTACAGTGTTGTTACAATAGGGATGTTATTACAATAGGGGCTGTTATTACAATAGCGGTTGTTATTACAATAACGGTACATGTGGGGTTATTTTCTACCCTTGCACATAATATTACATGAAAATAGTGTGACCGGCCTTACCGATGACGACAATGATGTTTTACTCTTCCCCGTTTACACATTTGTTGTTTAAAAGATTTAGTTCAAATTCACGCGCATAAATGTTCATCATACAAATATTTCAAAACTTCAAGTCATCAATAGCTCGGTGTTCAGGTTGATAATCACCTGCAATGGAATGATCACGCAAATCATATTTAAAAAAATATCAATCAAAAAATATTTCAGTTACGTAAACTGAAAGAATTCCTTCCTTGTAAATTCCGATCGTTATTTTATAAATCTTATATTCAGCCATATCTCGACTACTATTCACCAACTGCAATATTATCACTTATAATAACAGATTAATTATTCTCATTCCCCAGCTTTGTGTTGTTAAAAATAGTATAAAATTCAGAGGATCCTAGTTATGGAATTCACTGCCAAAAAATATTAAAAATATAAGCTCAATCCACATGTTTCGTAAGCATATTTACAGATATTTAATTAAGTGCTTCATAATTTAATGTTTTCTTGTTCATTCATATTTTGTGGATCATTGTCATCAGCTTCCAAAGGTGATGACAAAGTAAAGTTTTATTTTAGGTTTCTGTGAAGCTTTTTTCGATATGACAGTCATAGGATGGCTTGTTTAAACATATTATGAAAGTATTCGTTCCGAGCGAATCAAATCGCGAATCTTTAAAGAAGATTTTGCTTCAGTAGGTTTAATTTGACGATGCCGAGAAATGCCGAGCAAAAAAGGTCACAAAATGTACTCCAGGTGTAGAATAAATGAATGAATGAATGCTATATATAGTATTTATTGTTTGTGAATAACTATTATTATTTTATTTTTTTTTTGTTTTTCTTTTTAATTACACGTCTTTTCATTTTGATTGTATTATTGTATAATTTAAAGCTATAAGTTGTTTAACTTAATGCTATAAGTAATAAAGTATTATTATTATTATTATGGGGTTTAACGCCCCATTTGTCTGCACCAACGGGGCTAATGAAGACGGTTTTGGTGTAGAGTTAATGATGTTGGTATTCCTATGGTTCTAAATTGAACGGAATAGTAACAAGAATTATTATCGACTTTAGAATCTTTTAGAATTAAATTCATTTAGTAAAATATAAAAACAACCATCGGAAATTCTGGTTTATGCTGTCGAGCAAAAAAAAAAAACACGTTTGGCTTAATTCATAAAAATGAGTAATTATCATTGTCTGGTCAGGATGTCTATAAATATTTTGTATGTAACATTACAGTTAGGAAATATTTTAATTTTATTGAATTTAAATTACTTTTCCCCACGTCAAATGAACAGAAACTCTAATAAGCTCTTTGCTATCTTCTTTCCTCTAAATTGACGTTTTACTATCAATTATTGACGATCCAGCCGTCATTCTGAAAGATAATTAACACGATACGGCGATGATTAGCATGTCTTCAATGTCTTTTGAAGGACAACATTGTTCTAGAAGGTTAGCTGGACGAGAAGAAGAAGATTGTAGATCATGTCAGACTATTTCAAAACTCCCATTATCAGCACACAGTCCCTACATTCACCAATCAATAATTGAAGAAAGATGACAATCAGAGACTCCCGTAACTGATCACTTCACGAAAGAGCTGTCGGCTGGACTTCAGATTGCAACTGGCAATACCCATCACCAAGCTTAACTAAAAATGATAGCCCGTCGCGATTTAACGAAACAAAGTCGTTAAATCTTCTGAGAGATGTCTAAAACACACCTGCTTCTAATCATAATGTCCACATTTTTTGTCTTATCCAATGTCTATTTCCATTGTGATCTACGGTTGTGGCTGAGGGCGACTTGTTATAATGCTGCAATATTTGGTTTTGTAGTGATTATTTATTCTGTCAAGGCGATGATAGAATAGATATTTCTTCGGCAAGGCAGTATCGCGGGTTCAACTTTGGCTCGGTAACCATGTCATTTTTTGCAAGTAAAATGGACGACATACATTATTTGAAGATTGCATAATGCGACTTTGGTTGTTATATAATTTAGATAGAATATGAAAAGAAAGTCTTGGTGTGAAATGTTTCATTATTTATCAATTTCAAGACCAGATAGTAATGATAAACAGTTAGGTTTTCTAAAAGCTTTCTAACAGATTTTGTCCTAAAGACAATGTAAACAAAGTAAATAAAGCGACATGATAAATCAATTCTCGACTTTTATGAAAACAAGAAATCAAAATAAATTCGCACTTATGCTTTTTCAGTCGAGTCATAGTCCGACTAAAGAGTTAAACCACGACATCGGTGCCACTTTACATTATGGGAATTGGACCGCAGTTCATGATTTCATCGAATTGTTTAACTGGTCTTCTATGTAGTAAGTTAGGATGCCAAATATAAAGACTTTTGTCAGTTTTTCCAGCTTTATTCCAATAGTTTCAACTAGCTGCATCCATGGCTAATGAAATGAAGTTAATTAATGGTGATTTGTGGCTTGTGCCAAATTTTGATTTGGTTTGTCCTTAATATGTAAAGCGTAAATTTGGCACGTGACTCTGAATTTAATTAGGTCCCCTTCTTAAATTGTAAAGCTAATATACAGAACATAGTGATTTTTGTCGGGACGACGCTTTTTTGGATATACCGAGCCCAAGCTTAAGAATTACCATATCCAAGTTTCTTGTCGGACTTTTTAGCACCTGCAATACCAGATTGGCTTTGAATTGCATTCTGTGTCAGCCTAAAATGACTTCAAAATCGTTTATCTATTTCCCGTCTTCATTAGTCGAGAAGAAGGAGCAGAGCAGTAAGACATTAAACCCGATTTCATTTCGTTTATCTTTTGCACCGCCTGGAAACTTTCTTTCCGTCCGTTGTTGGGATGTAGGATTATTGAAATTATTTTAAACTCATCGATAATTCCATTATCACCAGTGGTATGGAGATCGTGATCTTTTAATATGGAAATGAAATTAAATGGGGTTTAACGCCCTGTTGTTCCGCTCCGATTGGGTTAACGAAGACAACTTTTAATATGAAAAAACACGCATTTAACTATGGGGATGAATTAAAAGGGTAATTCTTACTAATTGGCTGAACAACTCATCTCTTAGATTCTAATAATAACACAAAGTACAACAGGCTATACTGGATTCGAGATGCATCTTCAAATTTCCACGAATTCAATTGAATTAGTATTCAGAGTTGCTATGATGTTCTTACGGATGCGAAGTTCAACATAAATCCATTTGGTTCTGCATGGCTCTATTAAATTGTGTTTACGTTATGCTGTGCCAATTTCTATTTATGTATAGGCTTACTTTTTAATAACTTTCGATAACTTTCAAAGTTATTCCCATTTGTTACGAAAGTTTGTGAGAAAATTAAAGGCTCCAGATATGATCCTATATTTCTGATATTGATATTGATTTACGATCCATGAAAAAGGAAGAACACTATTGATTTTCATCGATGTACGATAATAACTTCCCTTTGTTAGGAAATCGTGTTAGAATCTCACAGGCATCAATTATGATCCGAATACTATTGAATTTCAACGTTTTTCAATAATTAACTCCAAATTTATGCCCCTTTGTTACTAATTCTTGTTAGAACTTTATAGGCTGCAATTATTAACCGATCTTTCTTAAATTTATTTTGGTTGTCTATCATATAGAAAAGATATTTTGAAATAACTTTCAGAGTTATGTCCCTTTATTGCGAAATCGTGTTAGCACCTTGTGGGCTCTAACTAAATTCTTAAAATCTGTCCATTTTGTAACATTTTATGTGCTGTTTAGCTCATAAATACACTATGGGTGAATGTATATAATCTACCACATACATCCACCCCTAAAGAGGCTATAGTTTAAACAAACGTTATGGATGATGATGATAAGTTTCCAAGGATGAGTTTGATACTTAATGTGTAATGTTGGGTTTCTGAGAAAGAGAGAGACACTAGTCAACGTATAGCCATATGTTTATGTGAATTGAAAACTAGTTACCGAGTGGGTAATAGGTTTCTGGGGTTGGGATTAATACTCCCTCGTAGTTACCGAGTGACAACGAGTTTCTTAGAATGAGTTGAATACTAGTTACATGATGTGTTTCTGAAAATGAGTTTAATATTACCACGTGGTTACCGAGTCCTGATGGGTTTCTGAGAATGGGTTTAATACTAGTTACCGAGTAGAGATGGGTTGAATACTCGTTACCTACTGCCGATTATTTTCTGAGAATGAGTTAAATACTAGTTGCCGATTTGTAATGGGTTTCTGAAAATGAGTTAAATGCTAATTAATGAGTGTTGGAGGGGGGGGGGCAAATGATTATTTAAAAAATACTATAACACCTTATTGCAACTTACCGCCACCATTTTTCTGTGTTAGATAAGGAAACCTCCATACATTTCCCAGGCCTACAGCATATCCCACCAAAGATAATAAAAATTGTGCTCGATTATCCCAAGTTTCTCTCTCTGGACCTTCTTCGCCCGTATGGCGACTTATCTTTTTATCTAGATCTATTCGTAACAGGTTAGCAGTTGAGGCCCCGGGACCTATATCCATCGTACTTCCATAACTCCCCGGGGGTGAGGCGACTAACGAATCAACATCACTAATTAAGTCTCCATTTTGATTTGGCAGTGGTAATTGTGCCATCTCTATTCCTTCGGGGCGACGTATGGGCGTTTCTTCAGTAGTTTCTGGACTCTCCATGACTTTACTCCTTTTTCTTCGAACTACACAACAGTACAGCCAAACAAATAACGTTTCACCTTCGACAGGGCTTCCAGTCAATCCAATCGCAACCACGGCCTTTCAGCAACTAACGGATTAGAGCAAATGAAATGGCTCCTTATTTCTGCTTAATCACCTCTTTGATGGAACATTACAACGGTCTCCAGATTGCTTTATATCCAGAATAATCCAGCTTCAAAACTTTATAATTATTGCCACTGTAGATTGAGGTTTCACTTAAACCTTTATTAGATTTATAGCGTTCCGGAACAAATCAGAAGTTCTTTAATGGATGAGATGAATTTAAATGAATGTTGGCTAACTTTGTTTTCGAACAACCGTATCAGTTTACAAACCGGCACAGACCACTTTGAACGTCCATCTACATGTAAATCAAACGTCAGACGATTTGTTCTAGTGAATGGATCAAAGGTATTCTTCTCAGCGATTTTCAACCTACGTTCTACATGACAATGTTCATAAGGCTGATATCACTTTGTAATATACCCACTACAAACAGCACACGATATGCAGTGATTAATTCACATTATTTTTCTCGCTCAAACTCCAAAAAATAACAATTCTCCTTTAATAATGTACTCACCGATTGCATGGATAAACCCTGTCTGTCGCTACTCTCTTTCTACTCTCCTAGTAATTAACGAATCAATAAAGTGGGAGGGATTGGACAACTCTGAATATAGACAGTTCGAGCGAAAGATCTGTTTCTATTTTCACTGTTTATCAACATACCACAATATCTCTTGAGATTTCTGTATGTAAAATCGATCATCGATATTCGGCTATAAACATTACGACAACAATAACAATGATGTTCGCGATAAGAATGAGAAGTTTTATTTAACTAGGATAGGATGTAAACAAACATGATCTATAAACCATTAAATGTGCAAATATGCCATTTTCATATTTACCTAGAAATTTGGTCAAATTAAATGAATTAATTTTCAAATGTTCAAATCAAATCTGGTGTAAAAACGAAAATGGACTTGCAACTTAACAACGGGATCTTTGTTAATAGTAGAAATATCATTGAAAGCCAGCAAACATATCTGATTTTCAGCATCAGTCAAAAAGGCTTAATAGACAGTAATGAATAGTCGAGAACACACCTAACCACCAGCTATTTCCTAGAATGATCAATAAGGAAGTGCTACCAGAAAAGTGGTAAGGCTTTCTGTATTTAGAAACGGAAGTGTTAACTCTTTAGAGGTTTTGTTAATGGCAACAGCAAATTATGTTCAAAATCGGTTTCATTTGTTGGTTTGATATCTATCGGAAAAATTGAACTAGAGAATATTTTGAACGCATAGCGGGGTGGGGCGATGCAACTTGATTAAAAATTGATGTCATAATTTTCAGCTCCGCCAATAAACCGATATTATGTGCTGTGGGGGTCTAATATAGTGGCTACTTGTGTATATAGCATAAACAACAAAACGCTTTCTATTGGTGCCGTACCTTTTATTTTGGTGAAATAATTAAACTATGGTTCAGTGGTTTCAGAAATTTCACCTTGAACAGGGCGGGATTTGTAGCACCATGGGCCTGTCAGACGTGGAGAGCGGGCGTGGGAAAACTGATCGCCACATCTTACATACGACCCATGCATCTTTTCTTATTACATATTTCTGTAGCCTTGTGATCGTCTAGAATTTGTCTTTAGATTTCTTTGCTTCTGCTTCACTTTGTGTATTTACTTCTTACTTTTTTCTTAAGACGTTTGTCTTTCCAGGAATAACAATGCTACAGTTCGTTTTTACATTTTATATATCATATAACTGCTTACATATGGTACAATGCATAATAGAATAAAGTCATTCTCTCAAACCTCATTCATCCAGACTCGTTGGGCGAGTCTGCTGATAGAAATTGCACTCAGATGGTAATCGCTCCGGAATCTAATGAAAGTCTGACTTAAAAGTTTACTATGATTTCTTTTATAGAACTCATGCATATCACGCACAGAAAACCTGTTCATGGCCCTGAACCTGTGCAATTTCTGATATGATTGGTTAAATTAAGCCAAATGATGCAATTAGAATATTTCCACTCACGTGTAATCTCGTGGTATTTTATTGACACATACAGCCAGATATGTTTTGGTTCTGTAACTCTTTTTATGTGTCAACTGTCACTTACTCACTAAGTTGATTTTAGTACAATTCTACATATATGTGAATTTAATAACTTGCCACCAAAGATATCAATTAATGAAATATATACTGCTCCGATTAATTTCAAGAACAAAAATTTTAGCAATATTATTACAGATTAAGTGGTGTTGTGTATGTGGGGTGGGGGGAGGGGGATTTGACTGGCCTGCAGCCACAAGCATCACTATTAAAGATTAAAGGGGATCCTAAATCTGTTCTAAACAAGAATTGTGTACCATATGTTGTATATGTTTGTGCCAAATAAATATATTCATCTACCTTACTGACATACAAATTGCATTTGTGTGAGTGTGACTGAGAAGAACCAGAATATGCCCCCTTTCACTGTTTGTGCAAGGTGCCCGGTGACATTTTCAGCCAGGGATCCCATGCAAGCTTATTCCGGCACTAACCTGGACCTTAGACCTACATATTATTGGCAGACACTTTATTATAGTAGCTCAACGAGACAACTTTTAAATAAACAATGTAACAAAACGGAAACTGGTAATTGATGTGTGATGATTTACCATGTTCCGGTATTTTCCAATGTCATTATTATACATTGTTTTTGCTCAAAGGTTCCACAAGATTTTTCTGTTTAAAGAAGTTTGCCGGTGTATGGTATTATTAAACGGTCTGTTACATGTTCAGACTGAGTGGTGTTTCCCCTAGGAGCGGATGTTACAACAGAAACCTAGCGATATAAGTCTAAATAATTTCCACGAACACAAATTGGGATGTATAATGAAAATGGCCGTTGGGAACATTTAATTGAGTATACACTTCAACATTCTTATAGTTAAGTGCCACTAGAGTTCGACTGACAAAGCTATCTATGTTGTAGGAGTTAAGACAAATGGACTTTTTTACACGCCCATATTTCAGCATGGCCCATGTCCGTCTGGATGTTCGTTTACATTAAAATTTGCTTGTAGACACTCTACGGGTCATATTTCTATCCGAAATTGACGAAACTTAAAATGTTAAAATATATGTTTATATCCCAAAGATCTCTGTTCCTTTCCATATTGGCACGTGTCGGGCCGTAACTTCCTGGATTATTGCCCTTGATTGTACGAAAAATGGTGTTTTTGCTTGTGGACCCCTAGAGTTCATAAATTTTATCCGAGTTTGATGAAATTTAAAACGTATGATTATATCCCAAAGAACTCGGTTCCTTCCGATAATGGAGCATATCAGACTGTACATTCCTGGATTATGGCCCCTGGTCATGATTGTAGGAAAAATCGCGTATTTAGCTTATGGAACATTTAAAGGTTGCGATTTTAATTTAAAAACCGCTCAACTATATCTCCGTTATACCATAATCATGGTTGACTCCGAAATTTGTGAAAATCGGACCGACACTTCTCGCCCAAATGGCCCGCTCCCCCTTACGCAACAGTGGAAAAGCACGTATACCGAGATTGTTATTCAGTGGGGCTGCAGCAATGTTTTGATTTGAAATCTGGGTAGTTATTCAAGACAATTTGAACGAAAACATTATTTATGAACAAAATACCCAGTTCCTTCAAATGTTTTTAAGAGTAACTGTGACGAGTCATTTATTATACCAGGATGAATAGTGTAAAGAACACATGTTATTTGAATATACAGATGGTATATTTGTTTTAGCCATGAGAAAAGCCACGCGGTTCAACATGCGAACCATCTCGACTTGTCACGCAAAAGCGGGGCATCGAAATCACGCCCCTTGACTTAACGACAGATCTAAAGCGCTGGTGTTTAAACATTCGGCCACCAAACCTCCTTTGCTTTTTGAATGTAAGATGCATCATTTATTCAAGTGGTTGTGGGTTTGATACGGTCGCCCCTTCGATCCGGCAGCCTCGGTGCAAGACGTTGGCTGGCTAACATGACGGTCCCGTGTTCGAACCCGGTGTTTGCCAAGAAAGTTGGTCGCGATTTTGTCTATGGTGCAGGACGGTGGTGGGGGCTGACAATCGACTGCGCATAGTAGTTCGGATGTGTCCCGTGTACACATTGACATGCATGCAGTTTCAATTCGGGATAAGAGTAGGCTATAATGCCAGTGTCCGGGAAAAATTTCCCTCATAGCACACCGTACGGCGTATGCCCGTCTGCATTAACAGTAGGACGTTAAACCCAATTTTATTTCCTTTCTACTTGACCTTGAATACTGTTCCCTGTGTGCAAGTTGAAACATTAGACCCTCTGTCATTTATTTTAATCTACATAAAATATATTCCGACATGGGCTGTGGTATTCACAAGAATTCAATGGCTGGGTTTAGTAAAAGAACCCTTGATAGTTGGAATCTAAGAAGGGCAGGTGGAAACTCTGCTGTCTGGGCAAGATCCTTCAAACTCGCATTGCATACGTAGCCATAGAAATAGGTTTCCATAAAATATGTCACAAAATGAAGGAAACATTGTGTTGACAAGAGATTAAATCACATTCAAATCATGCGTTTACTTACGGTCATATTTACTCGGTTCTTGTCTCAAGACGCCACTCAATACAGGTATATGTTCATTCAAACTCGAACAGTCCGCTGCATGTAGACAGTCGAGGAATGTATGTACTTCCCTGAAAAATATACTATCTACATATCAGGACTTATTTTAACGTGCCTCTGGATAAAAAAGCCCCGTGCTTTGAAAATCCGAAATCTGTAGCCTTGTGAATCCGAGAAGATTGTATGGGAAACTGTGCTATCATTATGATCATAGACCACTTTCGGTTTCAAACGTTTTGTATTGTTGACGTATTCCCCACAACCACCTAAAACACGAAAAGTACATGGCAGAACCTCGTCAAGTGCAGGTGACAGTGATGGTTCGTTTGCCTTTCTTTGGCTGCTAATGATACTGACACGTGGTTATAAATATGTTAATACTGTTGTACTTTGGTTATAAAAATGTAAGCGTGATATCGTGTTATCGAAAAACAAATTCTGGAAGTTTTCACAGAAGCCTAAAACATCGGAAAACATGCTTCGCCAAAAAAACCCTCAAAATAGGCCCTGCTTCATTTATTTATTTTAAAGAACCTAGGTCACTCGATTATGGAAAACTGCTCATGTTCGTCACATCATTATTCAGTTACAGCCTTGAAGGGTAAGGTACTGGCTGACTAACCCAGAAGTCCACGGGT